TTTAGAACACATTTAACAATTGCAAGAATTTCTTTAGCAGTTGTAGAATAATTTTTCTGAGCATTATTCCATTTTCCTGAACAAAAGCGAATAATATATATTTTACCTGATTCAGGATGGGTTTGTCTTAAAATACCACCATAACCCAAATCAGAAGCATCAGTTTCAATAAATTTATCCCAATTAGGATTGGCTARAAATAAACAAGGTAAWGATTTTATTTTTTCTTTAATGATTTGAACAGCTTTAGTATGTTGTTCAGTCCATGGTTTAGGATTATTTTTTAATCTTTCATATAARATTGTGGTTTCTTTATACAAATCTTTATAAAATGGTGCTACATAATTAACACTACCCAAAAATCTTTGAAGTTGATTTTTATCAATAATTTCATCAGGAAATTTATTAGAAAAATCTATACTTCTTTGAATAGGAATAATRTTTCCTTGTCCAATATTATGACCAAGGAATCTAATCTTAGTTTGGAATAATAACATTTTTGGTTTAGATATAACTAAGCCATTTTTTATAATAATTTTCTCAAACAAATATAAATGTTTGAAATGAGTTTCAATATCTTTTGAAAAAATTAAAATATCATCTATATAAACAATAATAAAATTACTAAAGGGATAAAAAATATCATTCATAATTTTTTGAAATTCAGARGGAGCATTTTTAAGTCCAAATGGCATAACATTTCATTCATATTGACCAAATGGAATATTAAATGCAGTTTTATAACGATCAGATTCATTTATTTGAATTTGCCAATATCCAGATTTTAAATCAAATTTGGAAAAAATATTTGCCTCATGTARACGATCTAATAAATCTTTTTTATTAGGAATAGGATACCTAATCCATTTAAGAACTTTATTCAAAGGTTTATAATTAATTACCAATCTAGGTACAACTCTTTCTTTTTCAACATGTTTATTAACATAAAAGGCTGTACAAGACCATTGTGATTTGGAAGGTCTTATTAATTTCTTATCTAATAAAGAAGTAATTTCTTTTTTACATAAATCTAAATATTCTTTGTTCATTTGGCATGGCCTAGCTTTGGTAGGAATATTTTTTTCATTAAAATCGTCTTCATAAGGAAGAGAAATAATATGTTGTTTTCTTTCCCAAAAAGCATTAGGATGATCAGCACAAAATACTTAAAGTAAATTGATTTTGTAATAGTTTTATTTTATCCTGTAATTTTGAATTATTTAATTGTTCTTCAATTGTTAATATTAATTTTTCTTCTTTTATATAATTTAATTGATTTTGTTTTAAATTAATCATTGTTTCAATTTCTTTTAACCATGATAATTGTGGTTTTTCAATAAATTCTAATTTAATTTTATTGCTTTTATAATTTCCAATAATACATATCTCATTAATATGTTCTATAGGATAAATAGTTTTTAGAAAAGGATTTCCTAGAATTAGCTGATTTGCAGGCATATGTTCTGCATTTAACATTATAAATTTTTGTGGAATACATATACCATCTTGGCAAATTTTTGCAATTATTTCACATTTAAC